GTTTGCATTTCAGGCTGTGACTGCCTGTGTTGAAGTTGTTTTGAAGAACTGGCTTTGTCCTTAGAATCTGGTCTTCAGCACGTGGATGCTGCTGCTGTGGAGGCAGTGGCAGTGCTGCTCACAGGGCAGGGGTGTCCTCAGTGGGCCCAGCCCCGAGCGCGGCTGTGCCGCAGTGAACGTGCGGAACTGCCCGTGGTGTGTGGGGAGAGAGCCTGGCCTCAGCCTGACCCTGGGCCTCTTCCCCAGCAGCCTGGCACTGCACAGGAGCCATCCTGCCTTCCTCTAGGGGCTGACAACGAAAGGTGCTGCTCAAACAATAATGCATCAGATGCAAATTGAAATGCTTTTGCTTGCACACGTCTCTCATCTTTCTCTGGGGCTGTTCTTGACATCCTTGAGGCCCCTCTTTGTTTTTTCCCACATATGTAGGTGTATTTTGTTTGTGTAAATCTCGAGTAAAACATGACCTTCTGCAGTTTGCTACTGAAGTGCTGCACTGTGTTCTGGAATAGCATTTGACAGGAAACCCTTTAATGTGTTCCGTACAAAACAGCACCAGCGTTGTGCGTGTGCAGAGCTGTGTGCTAGCAGTGGGAGTTGGTCTGGCTTTCCACTGGCAGTGTAAGACCTGCTCCAAGGGTTTAAAGTTGACTTGAATTTGTGGTCTGGGTCCACACTGCTGCTGCTTTGTCTGTCTTGACGTGGGGAGAACAACAGGGATGATGGATGTTGCTGTTTTTGGATGTTGACTGTGCTGTTGGCACCTAAATATTTTATAAAAGAGTAAAGGTGTCCTCTCTTGATTCTTTGCAGAAGAAGTACATATAATCACTTAAGCAGCTGGCTGACAGATGCAAGGAACCTCACCAATCCAAATACTGTAAGTTGGACTTCATTTAGCTTAAAAGCAAGATTGTTTCTCCCTGAGTGAGTGGTGGGAGGCTCAGGCCAAAGCACTGCAGTGGTCTCTGCAAGAGCTGCCTGTGTTTTCTGCACTGCTCCTGCCCCCACCTGCAGAGTGCAGTGATTCATTTCCCTACTGCAGCTGGAGCAAAAGGCCTTCCTCTAAAAGTTTAAAGCTTTGGAAAGTGACAGCTGGAGATGCTATTCCTGCTTTCCCGGAGTAGGGAATGTTAGGGCACAGTTCTGGAGGAGCATGGCTTCTGTAGATAATCTGCTCTGCATATTTCCCTTTGGTTTTTTAAAAAGTCTCATTAACAATGAAGGTGGCAGTGAAAAGGCCCCTGAGCTTTTTCCCAGTCTAACTTATTTTTCTCTCCAAACCCAGGTGATAATCCTCATAGGAAACAAAGCAGACCTGGAAGCACAGAGGGATGTTACATATGAAGAAGCCAAACAATTTGCTGAAGAAAATGGTGCGTTTTTTTTCTCTTGGGCTGGTACTTTCCTACAAGATAGTGGTGTTAGTGTGAATCCTCAGCACTAATAGCTGTAAGCTTACACTTCCAGAGTCATGGAATTGTGTGTACAAACTCCTGCTGTGCCTCAGGCAGTCTGGTAACTGGGTAGTTCTAGAAATTGGCTTGTGTTGATGCCTTAACATAGTCACAAAAGCTTGTTTAGTACTAAAATAGTGTCTTGCATGTAATGGGAAGGTCGTAATGTGTCTGACTTTGGGCTCTTTGAGGTGTGTTGTGCACTGACTGTTAAACCTCTGTCTCTGAACAGGTTTATTGTTCCTTGAAGCAAGTGCAAAAACGTAAGTGACTTTTGGCTGCGGTAATGTTCAGATTGGTCTGTTTGCTGTGACTTGAAAGTAACTTGGAACTGAGGCCTCTGGCTGCATTTCAGGCAAAGACTGGTTGAATTCAAATGAACTGATTTGGATTTCAGGCCTTATTTGAGTGTGGAATGTGTTCAGTGTGTAAAGGGTTCCTTTCCCTGGGTGTTTAGAGCTGCAGGTTTGGTCTGTGGGCAATGACCAGCACCTCCAATAAGTGAAGAATTGCTGTGCCATGCTTGGGGCTGGCTGTGTCACTGGGGAACAGATCTCCAGGGCCACCAGGAAATGGGGCTCCCACTGGCACATGTCAGAACAGAACTTTGTAACAAAAACAGGCTTTGATCCATAGTGCTCGCTTGTCTTTAAGCCACTCTCAGAACTATCCTGTACACATGGCTCGATGCCTTGGCTTATTTTTGCTCCTCAGTGCTTTGGCACGTATTCCTTATTCCCGAAATAAGGCTGGTCCTGATCTGGGTGTAGTGGCCAGAGAGGGAATTGCCCTGTCCCGGGGCTGTTGGGCTGAAGAGGACGGGGCAGTGCCTGCCCAGCTCCCTCCAGAAGCAGCACTGCAGCCCCAGTAACTCCTGCTGCTCTCTTGCAGTGGAGAGAACGTGGAGGACGCGTTCCTGGAGGCTGCCAAGAAAATCTACCAGAACATCCAAGACGGAAGCCTGGACCTGAACGCGGCCGAGTCGGGCGTACAGCACAAACCGTCAGCCCCGCAGGGGGGGCGGCTAACGAGCGAACCCCAGCCCCAGAGAGAAGGCTGTGGCTGCTAGTGACCCCTCCGTGGCTCCTCCTGACCCCTCACCTCTGGCTCTAGGGAGTGGTGCTTTTGACCGCTTCCCCATCTTCTGTACATCTTACTGGGTTTAATTAAAACTCTGAGACAAGTTTAACACAGTACTAAACTGCTAAACAACTTTAGATGTAATCAGGTTATCAAAGGCAAGTAGAGTAATAAAACCTCTCCTGCATGGTAAATCTAGAAGTTTTTTTTTTCCTTGATTGTCCTTGTGATAGTGTCACCGATACATAATTTAAACTGAGCACTGATGCTGGACTCCTGATTTTACACTTTCGCAGGGCTTTGTCTTGTATGGTTTATTTTATGGTTCTTTGGCCTTTCTTCCCCACCTCTAACTGTTCGAGCTGTCAGTAGTAAAGGATAAGTTTTTGCTGTGAAATGACTTCCGATGGTAGCGAGGGGCTCTGTAATGATGTGCTTTTGTTGGAAGAATTCCCTGTGGGATGTGCTGGGGTCGGGGTGGCGCAGGGAAGCGATCTGTTCATTCTTGTGCTCAATAGCTTTACGTCATTTTTTTTGCCACTTTTATCCTTTACCTTTGTTAACAGAACGTAAATATGTATAAAATTTGAAGGAACTGAGCTAACAGTTAAATACATCCTGTGTATATGATTTTAATGAAGAAAATGATGCCTGGCATTAGAGCAGTGTGTAAGAACCCCCCGTTTGTACAGTCTGAGCTCTCGGTGCCCCCGTGGCAGCACAGCCCAGCTGGGGCTGCAGTTGCTGGGTGTCACTCGTGGGATCCCCACGGTGCTGGGGACAGACATTAACACTAGTGGGGTGTGGCTCTCATCCTGCACTGTGCAATGCTCCCCTCTGCACTCAGCAGTGCTCTACCTGCTTCTCTTTGGCATTCTCGGGCTTCAGCCATGGCCGGGCTCTCGCACACCTCCCGCTTTTGTACCTTTAACTTTGGGACTGGGCAGAGGCTGAACTGGACAGTTGGAACAACGTGTGCTCTCTAGGGATTTTTAACTACTCTTGTATTTTTTAACAGAGCTGTGTGAGGGGTTTTTTAAAGGGTTTTGCTTCAAGCCTTCAAGTACATCCTTCTGGTGTGTGAGGGGGTGTCACGTGGTGACCCTGCCTGTGGGGGTGTTGCTGCACTAATGTGGGGTTTTACTGTGGCTCCTTGTGCAGCTTCACTTGGGAAACATCACAAGGTTTAAAAATAGAAGGGGGTAAGTGCTTAACCACAATCCAGTGTCCCACTTCAGGCTTACTGCAGCGTTTCAAATACAAAGTAGTCTGAAAATCCCACTCTAGACACTAAAACTCTACAATGTTGAGACTTGTAAGTAAGTGGTACCAGAGTATTGTACAGTCAATGTTAAATAAAAGCCAAAACTGGAATGTGCAGACAGTAGGATTTGGGTAACTCGTGTGCTGTCCCTTTGTTTGTCTGGTTAGTCCTTTTTTAACTCCTGTTCCTCAGTAGATGGGTATGTTCAAGATCTCCAGCTCCTGCATCCTGCTTAACCCAAGGCTGCACCAGGGTTTGCCCAGGGACCACGACCTGCTGCTGATGTGAAGTCAGTGTTGTAATGACTACAGCTTGTTGAGGTGCAATACCTGTACTCCCAGAGTAAGTTACAGTAGGTCTTATTGTTTCTGTCACAGAAAGGATCTGTTTGGACTGCTGTACTCCTCATTTGATGTAACAATGCTATTAATCTAAATATTTGTAAATAAAGTACCTGTATCTAGATAAACCTCCCTTCTGTGTGTTACTTGCTCTGGCCCTCTGAGGGTGGGACCTCTGAGGGGGGGAGAGCTCCTTGGAGTGCTGGGATTTGTGCTCAGCCTTCATCCTGGGCCTTATTTGGGATAAACTTCACGGGGGTTCCCAGAGGAAGCTGCCAGTGGTTTCCAGAGCTGCTCTCGGGGAAGCAGGGGTTGGTGGTGTTTGTTCCCAGTGAACTCTGACAATGGCTGGGTGACACTGCATAGAAACATGCTATCTTTATTGAGGATAAGAAAGGGCAAGACTGAGGCCAAAGCCCATCCCTGGGAAAGGGTGGGGAGGGCTGGGACAATCCCTGCACAGCCACTGGCCTGTGTTGGCCTGTGCCTTATCCTGCTAAAGGATCTATAAAGTGGCTTTTCCTGTACTAAGTAGGGAGTAAGTTGATTGTTATTTTGTTAAGCCATTGTCTGTATCCACCTGGCTCAGACAAGTGATGCTGCCGAGCCCTGGGAGAGGCAGAGGTGCTCACCCAGCAGCCAGGAAGAGGAACAAGGACAGAAATGCCAGTGTTGGACACATTCCTGTAAGGAGGAGCCCCAGCACTCAGAGCACTGTCAGTGTCCAGGGCTGTGCCAGTATCAGTGTCTTCAGTATCCTCCTTTGAACGAAAAGAATCTGCAACTGCCCCCAGATAAAAGCATCAATCCACAAAAGTTTATTTTAAGGAAGTATCTAAAATAATTGTTATTTAAAACTGCATTTGGCAACAGATCAGGCCTTGTAACAAAGGTTTCTTTAAAGTGGAAACTTGCCACTAGCTGAACACTTAAATAGGAGGTTGGTTTGGACATGTTTAAATACACATTTAAAATATTTTTTTAAAAAACAAACCAACTTATATATAAAAACTTGTTGTCAATTGTACAAAACCTTCACAGTACAGGCCTTGCAGCAGCTGTTTGTGAGTGGTGGCATTTCAGACAAGGCTCACCCAGTGAGGTAGCAGAACTCTTCAGAGGTGGCACCTGAGGGCCCCTGTCCAAGCTGTGGATGTGCTTTGGGCTTTGCTTTTCAAGTGAAGCCACTTTTCAAGTAACATTTGTACCTTAAACCTTTACAAAAGAACACTTTTGTACCAGGCTGGGGTGGAACCAGCTGTCCCAGAGGTTCAGCCATGGGGCTGAACAGTTCAACCAGGAAAGTTCCTGAAAGACCAGGGATGGCAACAATTTCTGCAGCAGTAACTCCATGTCCAGGAGAGCTCCCAGCACCTCTCACCCAGACTCTGCTGCACAACACACAAACCTAAAGCAGGACTGACACCAGCCCCAGGAATGCTGTCACTGGGAAAGGACAGAGTGGTCTGTGAAGCCACAGCTGCCCCATGGTCCCGCAGCCTTCCAGCCTCGTGTCTCTGGGAGGTTGGAACTGGCCTGAAGCCACATCTCACCTCTGGCCTTCAGCGAGAGATCCCTTGGGAACTGGAATGCAGCACTGCCGATCCCAATGTGCTTCCTGGGCTGCTGGGGACCTGCAAAAACCCCCCAAACCACTGTGAGGAGAGCTCAGCCTTTCCAAAGACATCAGCTACTGCCAGAGCAGGGGTAAGGTGTGATCACCACCTTCAGAAACCCCTGCCCAGCCTTGGAGAGAGGCAGCACGGGGCTGTAACAACTCCTAGCAAGAGAAGAATCATTAAAACCCCCTAAATCAGAATTCTGCTCTGCAGCAGAGCATTACCTGAGCTTTTGTTACATTCAGAGCACTGTGAAGAGATTCCAGGCTGGGGCTGCTGGGCAGGAAGAGGGAATCTGAAGCAGGGCTGCTGACCAGGTCATCCAGCACCTGGAGCTGGCACTGGAGGCTGTGCAGGCTCCCAGCCGTCTGCCGCTTGCCCTGCAGCAGCACATCCGCCTGCTTGGCCAGGCAGCGCCGCAGCTGCGCCTGCAACACACGGGGAGGGTCACACCAGGCATTGGCAACGCTCTGTAAAGTCAGCCCTAAAGGCTGGAAGGTTGAGTCTCACCACAAGCAGGGGGCAGTGGGTTTGGGAGTTATTTTTAAATAAGCTCTGTTTTGATGGCCGTGTTCTAACTGAGCCTGGCCTAAGGTGATCGTGGGTGGTGCTGAACTCCTCTGTCATGGTACTGATATACCACGGGATTATATACATGAGAGAATCTTGTTGGAATACTCCAACATCCAATTAACTGCCAAATAAAATTACTCCTCTTGCTACAGCCAGGCTTTTACTGCTCCCACCCAAAGCTCCTCGCTCTGGTCATTATGGCCCAAGCTGGAGGAGGATCTCCACTCCCCCAGGTTGTTTAGATCATGTTTTGAAGGGATGTGAGGGGCACAGATGTGGCACCTTGAGCCGGTCCTCATGCTGCTGCAGCTTCTCCCGGAGCGCCTCTCCCCGCCACTGCTCATCCTTTGGGAAAAAAAAAAGCACATTCAGCCAGAGACCAAGACAGAATCAGGAGCAGCTACTTGTCCAAAGCATTTTACCAGTAAGAAGACTCTGGAAACATTGAGCTTTTCTTCCAAGGAGAGGAGCTGTCTGTCAGTAGCAGCAAAGGAAGCAGTCTCTGAGCTATCACACTCATACTGCAGACTCCTATTTCCTTCAGATGATGCCTCCAAAGCTTCCAGCAGGTCTGGAGAAGATGAGTGTGAAGATTCAAACCCTGTCCTAATTTCATTTTCAACCTCCAGGTTAAGCAAGGTTGCTGCACTCTCCATTTCCCTTTGTCTCTCTTCCAGGTCTTGAGTTTGAGTTTTAACCTGCAGCACAGAACAGTTGGGTTACAAATACCAGTCCTGAGGGCTTTTCCTGTGTAACTGAACAAAGCTGTTCTGGACATGGAGCACTGCAGTCAGAAATCCCAAAGCCTCTGACCTGCTGCAGCCCTGGTTCCAATGTTAACTCTGCCAGGAAAGCCCCTCAGATGGGAACAGGCAACTGCAGTTACCAGGAGTTTTTAACCTAAACCTGCCACACTCTGACCTTGCAGGGCTTTCCCAAATGCTTTCCAATTGCCAACAGCATTCTTCTCTGTTTATAAAGGGCTTCAAAACAATTTATAAAGGGTATATTGAAGGACTAGAAGGAGTCAGACAAGGTGAATAACTTTTTAATTTGAAGTGAGTGTCTAAAGGAGAAAAAGCTGGCCCATGCTGGCACTGGCAAGTTGTTAAATACCTGCTGAGTAGCTCTGAACATCGCTAACATTCAGTGATTTGCATAAATTACAACTCTGGCTGTATTTTCAATTGTGATACCGCAGCAGGAAGATTCAAAAGCAATACAAAATGAGCTTGTCTGAAGCCACAAACCCTCAGCCCCCCTGGATCTGGCACCCAGCTGTACCTGGCTCTGGGGGTGGCTGCGTTCCCCCCTGGGTGGGGGCTGGCCCAGGTCCCCTCCGAGGTGCTCGGCTCGTGGGCAGTGGCTGTGGCAGTGGCACGGCTGCTCAGCCCTGGCGCTCTGCAGGCTGTCCTCTCCATGCCTCTGCTCCTGGGGAAGTGCAGGGAGATGCCTTTTACTGGCAGCATCCACCACAGTACATGAGCTAAGAGAACCCACGATTCCTTCAAGGCACAAACAGCAGTAACTTGGGTGTTGTGCAGCACTGGGAATGCCAGAGGTTGGTTGCCTCAAGTCTGGTCAGGAAGTTGTTGCATTACTTTGTTCCTCCAATGACAAAGATGGGTGTTCCATCATTCTGTTGTTTAAAATAACCCAAATCCCCAAACTTTCTCCACTCAGTGAGGACTTACTTGCAGTTTGCTTCCAAGCTCCATCCTTTGCATTTTCTCTGTTTCTCTCAAACTCAGGATTTGTTTTTCTGCTTCTCTCCTCTCTGACACTATCTGACCTTGAAGTTGCTTTAGCTCAGACTTGGAGAGCTCAAGTTCTTTCTGAAGACACTGTATTTCTCTGTCTTTTTGTTGTAACTGTAATTCTTTTTCTGAGAGCTGATGTTCTGTAATGAACATTTAAAAAAAAAACCCCGATTAGCAAAAGCTTATCTTGGCCCACTTCATACACAGCAGATATTTTCCAAACACCAAGAACCCAAGCAAGATGAACAAAAATATTTGTTGTGCCATTATCCTCAGCCCCCAGAGATGGCGGCAGTTAATCTGTGCAATGACTCTTACTGCTTTTTCTGATGGTTTCTTCAAGAGCTGCACACCGGGACTCCTCCTTTTCCAGCTTCCCAAGGTTCTCTTCTGCCAGCCTGACTTTAGCTATTGCCTGCTCCAGTTTCTTGTGTTGATCCGTTAGTTCCTTTTCCAACAGGATTTTCTGATCCTTCACTTTAGCTGCACATTCTTCCAGTTTTTTCCCTTCACGCTCTGAGTTTTGCTTGAGGCGATGAAGAACCTGCCAGAAACACCCCCCCCCTCTGAGCCTGAACCAGCAGCAACTCAGGGAGAACAAAAACCATCATTAAGAAACATTAGAGAAGTAAAAACAGCATAAATTGGAAAGAACTGCAGTCTAACAGTCCCTGCTGACAAAAAATGTTTGTCAATTTTTCCTACCTCTCTCATTTTCAGAACAGCTCCCTCAGTTTTCTTTTGGGTAACACTTTGCTGAAACTCCTCACCCAACCCGAGCTAATTTGGACAAACCAGTCTGTGCTTTTGTGATTATTTGTAAACTCACACCTCAAACGTTTTCGGCCTGAATTATTTTAATGTCAGGAGGAAGTGAGGCAACTCAGGGGGCTCGTTACCACTTCCTGCTGGGCGAGTTCTGTTTCCTTGTCTTCAATCTTTTTCTGGAGCTGCTGCAGTTGGTTCTCCCTCTTCTTGTGCCTCTCCTGGAATTCCTTACGCTTCCTTAAATACTCTCGGATCTCTTCCTTCAGGGCTGCCTGCTCTCTGAGCAGCTCCTCCTGCTGCCTGGAGTTGTTTTCCAAATCCTGCAATGGAAAACAAAAGCACCGTGGCAGGAGGAGCTGGGAAGAGGAACCAGCCTCAAAGGTTTGGGTTTGAGAGAACAGAGCTGGTCACTGGCACTCTCAGGGCTCCTTCCACTCAAACCCAGAATTAAGTGAATTAACACGGAAGGAGCCACCAGATAAAAAGCCAGAAGATGCTGCTTGGTTGGTTGTTTTTAAATTATCTTCTTCCTAAGAAACAATAAACCCACTCCACACTCAGCAAGAAGAAGGCAATAAAGCAATCCCTGCTCTCAGCTCTGCAGGGCTCTGAGTGGAGCTGTGCCCACATGAACAGGTCAGGAGCAACAACAGATTCCCAGAGTGACTGTAAGGACCATAACACCAACCTGTTCCACAAGGTGAAGCTGCTGCTTCGAGTCATTGAGTTCTCCTTTCAGTATTTCCAGTTCTTCTTTTTTCCCTACGAAAGTATTTGGTGATAAGACATTTTCCATCAGCAGCTTAAAATAGCAATACACAGAAATTCTCTTTTCATGAGCAAAGAGTGAATAACACAAACACAGTTGATGAAATTTCCATCTTTTCAACATGTTAAATTCTTTCTGCCTATGGACATCTGGGCACGCTGAATGTTTAATATCATAGGGTTCAGTTAAAGTGTGTCTTTTAACAGAATTTCTCCTAAAATGTATCACCTTAAAACCAAAAATTGATCTTTTCTTTACCTTGAAGGTCCTCCTGGACAGCAACAATCTCTGAATTCAGTGATTTCTTCTGCTTGTTCAGCAGCTCCACCTCCTGCTGCAGGTTCTTAACATCCAATCCCACCTTTTCCATGTTGGACAGTGCAGTTCTGCTGCTGTCCTCAGCTGCAGTTAGGTCTCTGTAAAATGTGAATCATGTTCTTGGTTAGTTGGAAATCCTTGGTGAGGCCTTAAAAAATGTCAGGAAAACCCTCTGAGCCCAAGGGGATGGCACAAGCAGTCAGAGCAAGACAAATGTCCTGTTCCAAGATGCAACGCTTTACTTTTTGTAACATTTCTCATAGCATTGCCAGGATAAATGCTGCTGATTCATCAGCTCCATTGCTGAATATTTTTTAAATCTGCTGTAGAGAGGCTTAAAGCAAAAGCTCCACAGAATATAAGAAAATGCCTGTTCTGTATCATTGGGCAACTCAGAGCTGTGTATTTTTAATTACAGCAAACAGATATCCAAACACTTCCCCATCCCTTCTGATCTCTGCAGGAAAACAGAAATTCCCTCACTTTTTGGTTTGTGACAACTTCTTCTCCAAACTCCTGGAGTCCTCTTCCAGCTTCTCCTTCTCTCTGCTCAGAGCCTCAATGTTGTTTTGCAGAGTTCTCATTTGAGAGCCCAGGTGCTCGTTCTCCTCACGGTCCTTCCTGAGGAGCTGCTCCTGCCAATCCACTTCCCCTTGCTGACACTGAAATAATCTCTGAATATTCTCCAATTTTAACTTCTCCTAGGAAAAACAGGCATGGTGAGCACCACATTTATATGGTCCAGAAGCAGAACAAGTATTGCCATCCTTATCTGCAGCCAGAGCGATTTGAGTGAATTTCATGGAGGAAGGTGACAATAGAATGGTTCCAAGTACCTTGGGGACCTTTTTAATGCTAGAGATCACCCAGCTGAGTTAAACTCCCTTCCAGACTCATCATTTGAAGTGAGGACACAGGATCCAGATGAAAAGACTCTGAAAGCTCCTAAAAACCATCATCCATCAGTCTGCAGCCACAGAAGCACTTCTGTGCTCCCTCTCTCTCACATACACAAAAAAATCCCATTATTTTAAAGGGCCTAAGCAGACTTAAGACTTTTCTGTGATAAACTGAAATCAGATTAGAAACTGATTGATTTAAAAGCATCAGGACTCTGTTACCCAAGGCTTAAGAGAACCACAGATCTCCCTGTTTCTGCATCATCCACAGAAGCACTTCTTACCTCTAGAACAGCCACCTGGGTCTTTTCCAGCTCATTGACCTTCTGCTCATGTTGTAGTTTCAAACCTTCCAGTTCATTCTTCTCAAGCTCCAACATTTCCAGCACATGTTTCAGTTCTAGTGAGGTGAAATAAAGAGCAATTATTGGATTAGGATGAGAACTAAAGAGCTCTGTGTGTTCCTTCCCAATCTGCACAAAACCCACTAAAGCCCGGGACATACCCATCTTATGCTTGCTGATTTGCCCAAGTATTCTTTGAAGATTTTCCTCCTCCTTTCTAATATCCTTCTTTAGGACCAGAAGCTGTGCTCTTTTCTCATTCATCTGGACATCCAGTTCATTCCTCTCAATACTAAGCTCTCCCAGAAGTACTTTTATTTCCTGTGAGAACATATCAGTGTTACAAGGATACAAAGATTGCATTTTTTGCAATTTTAAATTAATTTCTCCTTTAAACTGAAGTTCTAAATGTTTATAATATTATTTAACAGTCTGTCACCAGTATCCCGGTTTAACAAACAAAGAATACAGAATATTTAAGTTAAGGTCTTGTTTGTTGACAATTTAGAGTAGTAATTCTGCAAAGATTTTGATCTCCAAATCTTACCACAACATTGTCATTCAAGTGAATAATGGGCCTTAAAACAAAACCAGACAAGAAGCCCTCACAAAAGAAAATAAACCACAAAATATAATTAGTCCTGATACTCAGTTTTGATTTCAGCAGGGAAGTACAGAATCCTCTCTGTGAAAATGGGGATGGGGACAGACCAGGGCAGCTGTGTTGTGTTTTACACACACTGATCACACTGATTTCCTCCAGCAGCTGCTCCTCAGCAAGAGGAAGTCATTCACAGGCTTATATATTTAATGTAATTCAGCTCTCAAGGGACTAATTTTGTAAGAATTACTGGAACTGGGGAGCTCTTCATTGTGCAGATAGACCAAGGTTTTAGTCACATAAAACCATAAAATTCCATGTTCTATTTCTCAGTGGGTTTGGGGAGGGCACAAAAAGCAAAACTGTATTGTGGAAACCTCCTGGAATGTTTGTAGAACTTCAAGTCTTTTGCTGTAATGGTTTGAAAACTCATTTGGGAAACTTACCCTTATTTGGCGAAGTTTTTCATGTGCTTCAGTCTCTCCATCCCGAAGAGCCTCTTTGAGGTCACCTTTCCTTTGGGAAATGCAGTCCTGAATGCCACGGAGCTCTTCTGTTCTTTGAGTCACCTGCTGCTCCAGGAACAAGAGCTCTTGCTGCTGAGCAGAAATCTACAGTGGAGAAGTTTAACAGAAGAATCAGTGCAAGCTTTTGTTTTTGTAGCTAAACATGAAAAAAAACCCCACATGAAAAAGTGCATCAGAGAGCCTAGGATTGTGATTATGAGACAAAGGTCAAGTCCAACAAAATGGAGAGCCCAGGGTTGGTAGGCAAGCCTCACTTGATCTTTCAATGTTTCCAATTCAGTTTTCTTGCCCTGAACAAGGTTTTCTGCTTCTCTGATGATTTGGAGATGCTGGCCCTCGTTACCTTCTGCAAGTTGAATATCTCCTTGGAGCTTCTGAAGACTGAGAGTGAGGATAGAAACAGGAGTCAGAAGAAGTGAGAATATCTTAGGCAGTGACTCACTGGAGTAGGACATGTTTAACTTAATACAGTTCACGGTAAATTAAAAGTACCTTTCAGTGAGCATTTCTATCTTCTGGTTTAATGACTGCAACTCAGAGTCTCTTGCAGCCACCATTTTGTTGATTTTCTTCAAAATACCTTCTTGTTCCCTCTTAAGCTGTTCCAAACCCCTTGTATCTGTCTGTAATAACCTAGAAGAGTATTTATGCCTTTTCATATTAACATTTTAACAGCTCTCCCTCTCCAAAAGCAGTGTCTTGATAGTGGAAAGAACCCAGTCTTTGTCCTCACCCGGTGTGACACAAACCCACAAGAGCACCCAGGGTACCTGAGCTGCTGAGATGCTTTCACTATTTTGGTGGCTGTTTCCTGAGCCCTCTGCTCCAGCTCCTCTGCCTCCATTTCAGTGCAGGACAAATGGTGTTTGGCACGATTGTACTTCTGCAGAGTCTCTTTAGTCTAAAGCAAAAATTGAAGATTGAGACAATACATTCCACCTTATGCTGCATTTGCTGTTTAAAGGTGAGCTCCTGGCTTGAATATTCCACCTCAGCCTTCTCCCTCTTTCTACCATGAACAACTTTTTCTCCCCTATTGTCCAGAGCAGAAGACCTTCCTCCTCTTCAACAAGGACTAAACCAAGCTCTTATAGCACAGTTTATTGCCCATCTTACTTTCATACAAAAGCATTTTAAGAGGCTCCAGGTTACCCATGTGAAAATAAACTGTCTAGACAGACAAAACAACACTCAAATCCTTCTGCCCTCAGGGTTTTGCCTTCACTCACCTTGCCCCGGGTGCTCTCCAGTTCCACCTGAGCCTCTGTGAGGAGCCTGTCGGCCTCTCTGAGCTCGGCCCGGCGTTTCAGGAGAGTCTTCTCTGCACATTCAATCTCCTCTGCAACATCTTCCTGCTGCTGAAGGGACTTCTCCAGCTGCAGCTCTGCAAGGAGGCTGTCAGTGTAGCCGTCAATAAAGTCCCTAAAAGGTCAGGATGAAAAACACAGAATTAAAATACAAAGATGACAAAGATCTGGGGACCTCTTAAAGTTCTAGAATTGTAAATTAATCAAAAAGCTGACTTTTGCTGGGAAAAGGTTTAGGTATTTTCAGATGCTTCCTTTCAGTGCATTCCATGCACTGCTCCCACCTGCGTGTGCTCTGTTTCTGAGCTGCTTGGCGCAACTCTGCCACTTCACATTCCAGCTCTTTTCTTTCCTGCTCAAGTTCTTCAACATTTCCATGCAATCTTTCCACCTCCTTTTTGTATTTATGCTCAGCTGCCTCTGAGCATTTCTCTTTATATTTCTGAGACTTTAAATAGCACACAGTGTCTTCCAGCCTTGAGACTTCACTCTCCTGCATACAGGGAACAGAACAACATAATCAGGATCTATTTTTCAGCTGAGACCTCCTGACACCCAGGAGCAGCTCCAGATGGCAAGGACTGTAACCACATCCAGATCCTTCCTAGCTGAGAGCTTTTCCTAACCCATTTGTCAGTCAGTTCCCAAGGGTTCCAGCTACAGCTGCAGCTCTGGTTCTTACCAGATCCTGATGTTCAGGCACGTTGCAGTGGAGCACTCCAAAGGGAATGAGTGGCACCGTGAAGTTTGGAGGCAGAGGGCCACAAACCACCTGGGATCCCAGAGGAGGTGGGCCATGGATGATGGATCCAGGAGCAAGTGGAGCTCCAGTGGCTGCTGCAGGAGGAGGGCCATAAACCCCCATGCCCTGAGGTGCAGGGACCCCATCTGGAAGGGTTGTGTAAATAACTGTGCCTGGGGGTGGGACAAAGGGAGAAGCTTCCGGAACAGGAGATCCTGCATTTTCTTCACCATCTTCTTTTGCTCTTCTGTCTTTAAAAGAGACAAAACCAAACATGTTATTTTTAATAATTTTTTCAGTAGTGATAATCTTCAAATGCACATTTAAAATTCTATGTAATTTACAAAAATGTAACAAATTTTGCTTAAACAAAGTTATTCAACAGTAATAAACATTTATATTCACTCATGCCCATCAAAAAAACCTCTCTGTGAACTCTAAGCAAACCCGTCTTTAGTCTGCTCCTAAACATTCTGAGACTGACACTGACTTACCTTTACCAGAATTTGCTCTGCACAACCTGTTTCTGACGGGTGAATAAACCAAACATCCTTGGCTGGGCAACTCCTCCCGCCCACAGGGCCTGTCCTGAGCATCCCCTCTCCTGGCTGAGGATGTGCCAGAGCACCCCAAACACACTCCGGAGTCTTTGGTGCTGTGGGAAGCAGGAGTTGAAGCCTAAAGAAAAAATACAGCACATGTTAATCCAGAAATGACAAATCATGGCAAATAAAGGAGTTGTTGTGGACATCCTAATGATTTTTCAGAACAGGCTACACATACTGTGCTGTCTCTCAGTTCTAAGCATGAGGCTGCTTTAAAAGCACTAAATATATTTTAACAATATTGCTTTTAAATTCAGACAGATATTCTTTTGAAAGAAATGTTTGTCTGTAAGATCCCCTTTTAACACTTAACTAAATGGATTTTCAGTACTGCCCACTGAACAGTTCTATCCCCATGTTATGTACCCTGGACTCCTATCAGCACAGTGAAGGGCATTACCAGGGAACATCTGTGTGTGTTTTATTTCAGTATTTCTCCTATATGCCAGACAATACTTGTTCTTAAATTTCCCCCAAACCTACTAAATTTACAATGCACCTTCCCCCATGAAAGGGCTTTCCACAAGGAAAACAATCCATAACAGGATTTCTATTCCTGACCTGTGATGATGGCATGTAGTACCAGTATCCCCCTATTTTCAGGGGCTCTGCTGTACTGCTGCTGTGCTCATTCTGTGAAAGGACATTTCTGAGGGCTGCAATTTCACCCTGTAAGGTCTCAATTTCATCTTTGTTACCTGGAAATTAAGCACAGTTTTAGAGTCATCTAAGGCAAATGTTAAATAGATGCTGCGTTCAACTTTTCCCTCAGGGTTATCCAGTTAAACTTGAACAATATTTAAAAAAAAAAAATGCTGAGGGAAACAAACTAAATGTTATCTATAATGACAGACATACACAGGAGGCTTGGTGGTTTAAGATTGTGGAAATAGAAGTTCAGATCCAGGTAACTGCTGCTCATTTTCCTTACACAGAGCTCTGACAATGTCCTAGAGCAGTTTTAATTGAATTCTCAGCACAATCAGTATTTTCTAAACAGGTGTAGAAAGTGCAAACAAATGAACATTGACACACATCCTGTATAAACCTGTATACAAGGTTTTCTCATCACTATTTTCCAGATTCTCAGTTCAAACAGTGAGAAATGGGGAATAATAATCTTGTGTATCCCTGTCTATCTGCAAGAAGTGGAGTGAAAAGAGAAATTACCTGTCCCAGTATTATCCAACAACCATTTCAAACGGTCAATCTCTGCTTTCTGCTGTTCCACAGCTTCACTTAATTTATTAATTTCAAACTTCTGAGCGTTTGATGCAACAGTTTTCTCACCAGCTTTCTCAATTTCCTGCAGAACCTATTTGAAATAGAAGCTTAAATCACAAAAAGCTCCCACTCAATGCCACAAAACTGTTCTTCCCATCCCCTCATGTAAGAGATGTTTGAGTGAACAGGTGATGGTTTTCCTTAACACTCAGCTGCTCCAGGCAGTGAGGTTTTCAGTTTGTTCTTGGGCAGGTGTAAGGGAAGGGAAGAACACTGTGATTTGGGAAAACTTGAGGGGAAAAGGGCAGGGCAAGAAAATCTAAACATGACATTTCCAGAAACTCACTGGTATTTTATCATATAACACAGAGCAAATAACCTACTTGCTGTTCCTTCTCCTTCAGGAGTTGTTGTAGCAATTCTATTTCTGCTTCTGCTCTGGCAAGAGCCCGAGAAGCACGAGCTGCCTCAGCACAGAGCTCCTGGGCTTCCTCACGCTCCTGAAATTGAGATTTTCATTTGAGCTGAAGTTTGCAGGAACATTTCTCAGGCTTCAGATGGGCCATTGTGAAAAGCTGACCATTTAGAAGCATCAGCACCTGACTGTTCTGGAACTCTAGATAGATGTAAAATACTGTTTCTCCTTTAACTTTACAGTATTGCTACAGAGAAGGTGTTATTATGTAGCCAAAAGTGCTTCCAGGCTTGAGAAAGAGTTTCCAGCCCTTTCTTTTGTGTTTGTGTCTTACAGAAACAATGCATTATCTATTGTTTGCCTTTCAGTTAATAAGAGATTAATGAACTTCCCCCTCCCTTCCCCTCCCACAGCATGAACCTGTCCATACCCAAATTTCCTCACTCATCTACTGCATTTCAAACTCTGTCCAAAAAAAGAGCTCCTATGCAGCTCAGAACAATTTAGAAGAAAGCTCTGAAGCTCATTTGAAGGACACCAGCACTGCTCCCACTGCAATGGCATTAACCAGCAATTAATTCATTCCCCATGCTCATTTACCTCAACTCTCTCCTGATTAATCCTGAGCACAGTCCCCTCCAGAGCCTTGAGCTGTTTTGCAGCGATGGAGAGCTCGGTGGCTGCCAGCTTGTCTGAGGTGATCACTGCTCTCTGCAGCTCCTTCAGCTCCTTATCCAGGCTCAGCACTTGCATCTGTGTCCTGGCATCTTCAACTTTTTTCTGAAAGCAGGAAAATAGACTTTTACAATACACTTTCTTCCATCCTCCCCCCAACCCCATTTTGTACTGTTCGGAAAAAATATCTAAAGTGAGGACAAGCAGTAAAATTTAAGGAAAAAAAAGATGTTATACTTAACATTTGTGTTCCTACATGTGTTGTTTTATCTTAGAAAGCAAAAATTCACAAGTTTTTGTTTCTTCTTTCCCGAGCAAACAAACAGTGCACAGACCTTCCCTCACCCATTCTTACCCTTTCCTCTAAATTCTTCAGCTGAGAAAGAATAGCCTCTTTTTCTTCATCTGCTTCCTGGAGCTGCTGATCAGCCAAGCCCTGAACCTCTTCCATGCTCTTTATTTTTACATGTAAACTTTGAATTTCATTCTCTAACTGATGGACCTTGTTCTTATTTTGCCTGTTTTCAGCTTTAACCTGTAAGTAAAATACATTAAAATAAGTAGCCAGAAATGTTTTTCCAATCAAAAGCCTGTTTTAATTATTTAATTAAATTTCTGGGAAATCCAGTTACCAGCACACTTTGCATCAAAACAGAAAGGAAAGGTAACTACTGTGCCACTGGAACTGTAATATTTTAAGAGTGCCTCAGTTATTTTATTAGAGATACGCATAAAGATCTTTCAAGAAGGTTCAGAACTGTATTTTTCTGTGGTCATTGAAGTCTTTGTTGCCTCTGAGACAGATAATTGACCAAATTCCAACTCACCAAATAATCAGGTAAAAATCAGGAAGACTATTAATGAAAAATCAAATCAGACTCCACTGTTACACAAAGGACAGAGCACAGCAAAGCTTCAAGTGAAACTTGATCCTTCAGCTGTAGGTTACATTTTTTAGACTAAGCTGCAATTGTCTTACTCCTGCTTTTGTTGTTTGATACGTGCCTGTCTGTATTTCTCCTGTATTTTTTCCATTTTTTCCTGCTGGGATACCATTTCTTCCTGCATCTGTCTCTGTCCATCCCATGCTTTCTCTTTTTCCTTCTGTGCATCAGCAAGGATGTCATTGAATTCTTTCTGCAGACTTGCAAGGTTTTTCCCTAAAATATCAGCTGAATTTAGACACCTGAAAGAGAAACAATCCAGGTTCCAAGACAGCAAACAGTGATTTTAAGTTGTGATACCGGATACTGAAATCATGAATGACAAATAGTGAAAGTTTGAGACATGCTGTAATTCATTCAGGTTAGGTTGGAAAAGCTCTCTGAGTTCATCAAATCCAACCATTCCCCCAGGACTGTCAAGGCCACCACTAACCCATCTCCCCAAGTGCCACATCTAAATATTTTTTAAATCCCTGCAGTGCTGGTGACTCCACCACGGTCTTAGGCAGCCTGTTCCAATGCCTGGCAAGACTTTCAGTGATGAAAAGTTCCCAAATATCCAACCTGAACCTTCTCTGGCACAATGTGGGGCCAATTCCTTTTGTCCTGCCCCTTCCACATGCTCAAATCTCACACTGTACTTTTATTTTACTCACTTCATCTCTCCAGTTCCTGTCTGAAGCTTTTGCCTGAGTTCATTTATACAAGCCATGACATCCTCAGGATGAATTAAGTTACCAACTGCATGGTTTAGCTGATTCTGGAGATCTTTAAGCTGTTGTTTTAGGGAATTATTGTCACCCTAAAAATAGACCAAAAAAAATCCACACAAATCTAAGCAAACAAATCCACAAGTGATAGAAGCTAGATTTTTTTAATACAACAAATACTTAACCTGCAATTGCTTGAACTGTAAAAGCAGCTTGTAATTTTGTTGTTCCTTCTCTTCTGCCAGTTGTGCTTTGGTCTGAGCATTCTCTAACAGTTGTCTTTCCTTTTCAAGTTCATCCTGCAGGGCTGACAGTTCCATCTACAAAACCACAAAACCTCCAGATTAATATCCCCACTCCCAACCCCAACCTGTCACCCAAACACACGACAGATACATTTCTTAAAACAGTAACAATATGACAGCACCTAAAAAAGATCCAACAAAACAACCCCAAGCAAACCATCTGGACCTTGCTTCAAAGCAAAGTTCTAAACCCCAGCAAGCTGATTTAACATTGGAGATGAGGAGTCCTGGGGTAGCTAACACCTCTGGCAGCACTAAAGCTCTGTTCTTACCTGGCTAAGTTGTTTCAGTCTTTCAAATTCTTCTTTTTGCTGCTTGGCTTCTGCATCTCTCTCTCTTAACTGAGCTTCCAGCTCAGCCTTGTAGGTGCTGACCTTCCCCTGAGCATCCTGAAGGGACTCATTTATGTCTCTCTGCTCCTGGAGTGAACTCTCCAGCATTGCAATTTCCTGGAATTTAAAACCCATTTTAGAAGGATGTACATGGGAGAGACAGAATTTAAGAGTACATTGCCTCCCTTCCCTTTAACTCAGGAACTCCATTAAAACTTGAAGGTGAATAGCACTTCTACTTGCAAGGTCAGGTCAGTGGTGCCACTGACTGTCTAAAATCCACACTCAGGTTTAGAAAGGTGGAACTGGAAGTGGAACAGAATTGTCCCAGGAGTTCAGGTCTACACATCAGGATGCCCAGGCAGCTCAGTGCCATTGGCTGACAGGACAGATCCAGACACACACAGATCCCTGGCCAACATCAGAGGTTTCCCTGATGTCATTCCCCACAGTGTCACCTGCAAATCCACTTTGCAGTGATGTCTGCAAGGTGAAACCTACATTTCTGAGCCATCTCCCACAAAGCATAGATTTACTGGATGTCTCTTGCAACTGGTTTTAAAGGCCAGATTCTATTCTTGAGGGCTGTGTGCACATTTCATCATATTGCTATATCAGAAATTATTTTGTCCAAGTAATTGTGCTTCCTTAGTCCCAGTCTGACCACCAGCTTATTTTTTCAAGTTTATTCTTAGATATCTGAACTTGGGAAAAGAGGTATTAAGGCTTACTTTTCTCATATTTTCTGCATCCATGGCAACCACTTCCAGGTTGTTTTTTTCCTCCTCCAGACCTGTCAATCTTCCCAGCAAAGATTCTTTTTCCTTCTGCAACTTCTTACACTCCTCATTGGCCTGTTTTGCCTGATGCTTCACGCTTTGCAGGTATTCCTGTAAGCCAGTGATAATACTTTCCAGATCCCTTTTGAGTGCTTCATTTGTTGCTATTTGACCTGAAGGAATACAAAATGAATTTGAGGTAGTTAAGAAGCCACATTTACTTACCAAACAAACCAAAGTGCCTTCCTTCATCATTTCAAATATTTGCCATTGGAGCAAGTAAAAACAAGTACCTAGAACTCAACCAGAAAATGTTGTTCTTAAGGTTAGGATTCTCAATATTACTGGGCTAACCTGGCCACTGGAACAGATAAAAGAAATTTCAGTTCTTTATGCATTCCTGCCCCCCTTTCCCAACCAGGTACAAGTGAGGTAAACACACACAGTTTCCTTTTACATCAGTTAAGACAGTTTTTTAACACTTTTGTGCCCATTCTGTATTTCATTTGAGCAAGGATAAACGAAACAATCCTCAATATATTTGTCATGTCACCCTAAGTACAAGAAATACTTTAAGACAAAAATTAAAATTTACCATCAGTGAGCTGCTGCTCCAAATCCTTGATTTCCTCAGTTTCCTTTGCAATCCTGGAGAGCATCTCATCCAGGCGAGTCTCCAGCTGCTGGCAGTGTTTGCTCATTATATCAAGGTGCTGTTCTTTACTTGCTTTTTGAGCTTTCATGTGAGCCTGTCAAGTAACAAACAGAAAGGTAAAACAGGGCATCAACACAGATTTCAAAAATCAGATTGGGATTTTGTCTCAATTCTGCAGTGTCTCATTATCAGCAAGAAAAGCCACAAGCTCAGCACACACTGTGGTGCTTTAGGATTTGTTACTTGTTGCTATTTTCCCTCAGCCCTGCCCCACAAAGGACCCCAGATAAGCAGCAATCTGTGACTACCAGCATTGTCTGCAGGCTCCCCCCTGCCCAGGCTGAATAATGCCTGCATTTAGAAATTAGTACTCATGGCTACTATCTTTCTTCCTGCCTTTACATTTTGTTCTACCACTTCCTCTCTCAGTCAAGAACAAACATGATTTCTCCCAGAACCTTTAATCCTGTCATCCTGCATTGCCCTCACAGCAGATGATGCTTTAGAACATGTCAGGTCAGCACTTGAAGGAAGATACTCTGAGCAAACAGCAAGTCGGGCCAACTTTACAGTTACTAAGTAAATATTCCTAAGTAAATCTTATTTTATTAAAATATTTCTAGGAGATACACCACACAGTTCACACAGACTTTGGCAAGGACTTCATGCATTTAGTATGAATTAACTGATTGTTTCAGCTGTTTACAAAAGCTTGGTAATCAACAGAATAAAGTGTTATTTCTTACCAGTGTGATATTGCTCAGAAACAAGTCAAACGCCAGAAATTTGTGAAAATACAGAATTATACTGTCATGATTAACTGCATGTTTTTATTACTACTCAAAAAAATAAATCGAGCTAGCAGTAGAAAATTTAAATATGAGTTCTCAGAAAAAAAAGAGCACTTACAAAGTTGCTTCCACAGCAAAAGTAAATGGGTGAAACCAAAGCTTTTTGTATTTCTACTGGATTAAACCGGAAGTTAACTTAAACATCCATATCAGCACAGTTCAACTTGTCACCTTGCTAAACACAAACTGCCCTGCAGGTTTCGAAAGGGAGATTTCAACAAGTAAGACCCGAACCGCTGCCACTGAGCCATCTTGCTGCAGCTGCTGAATGGCACCAAAAATGAGGTTTTAAAAAGAAACAAAAAACCGCAAGACCCCGACCACTTACAGCTTTGCCTTTGTCTTTTCTTCCCGAGACAGCACTTGCAGAACGCCCCACCCCTGAGCGGGAATTCATTTGAATAAAGCACCGGGAGCTTCAGCACGGGCAGGGATTGAGCGGAGTCTCCGTGGGGTCCCGGCCGGGGGCGGGAGCTGCCGCCCTGACCCCGCTGCCGGTCCCGTTCCCGTTCCCAGCCCCGTTCCCAGCCCCGTTCCCGTTCCCAGCCGTTGGCCCGCAGGGCGCTTCCTGTGTTGTGATTCGAAGCGAGGGGCGGCCGCGGGAAGGGCCGGGCCCGCTCCTGCCCCGGGCCCGCTCCTGCCCCGAGCCCGGCCATTCCCCCGGGAGCCTTCCCGGAACGCCCACGGCCCTTCTGCCACCCAGCCGAGGAAATTAAGTTTAAAAATACAAAAGGAGCTTTTAAAACAAGCGTCTCTGCTGAAAACGGAGCAAAGCATAAAAATACTTTCACTTCTCATTTAAGAGCATCCAGCGGGCCTGAAAAACTTCCATTTAGAGATATAAGCTTTTAAAGAACACGATTAAAGACAATTCAGTTTAATTTTAGCTTAATTTCAATAAGTGTTTGCTGTCCCTGAACACTGTTAATAACTCAGAAAAAGTCCTGCATCCCTGATGATCACAAAGTTAGGTGGAAGCTCGAGCTCTCCCTGGCACCCCAGCCCTGGGGGACGTGACCTGTGAGGCCTTGCTGATTCTCTCGGGACTGACAGGACTGGGGGTGACAGCAGAGAAAGACCATCAGTCCCCACCAAACAGGCTGGATAAGCACTGCCAGACACAGATGTTTAAAAACCTTTAAGGCCAGACTGCACAAAAAGATGCTTGAAGGATTTCTTACACAGAAATTGTCTGCAAGGCTCTGCCCAGCGTGTTTGGATTTAATTTTAGTGGATAAGATTGAGTTCTTAACGTGCTCTACAGGAGATGCTGGAAAAATTAATTGTTCAAGTGTTTTACCAAAGCTGGTTGGTGTGCTGAGATTTTTTAACTGTAAAGATTTTTTAACTTTCAAATTATAAGTTAATGACTTTGATAAACAGCAAAAGAATATATAACTTGTGAAACAGGCACGAGTGAATGGTCACCTGTTAAAGCAGCCTTTAGTCCACTGCACAGTATACAAAAACCCCAGATTCTGGTTTTACTTACATGCCTTGGATCCTCAGGATTTACAGAACCAAGAGAACTCTGCAAATTTTCAAGTTCTTTCTGATTTTTCCCTATTTCTCTTTTCTGTTTCTCTATTTGTTTTTCCAGTTCTAAGGTTTCCTTGCGTAGCTCCTGCAGGATTTTCAACTTTCCACTCAGTTGCTGTTCAATTGCTTCCTTGCTGGCCTGGGAGATCTGGAAACAGCATCAGGAGGTTGAGTGGTTGGAAATACACAGATCAAGAATATATTTTACATTTAAATAAAGAAGATCCTGGTCACTGATTTTCAGGCAAGTTTCAAAATTAAAAATAGCAATAATTGATGACAGTTGAAGAAGTGGAAGCTGTTTTAGTTTATTGCTGATAAATTAATTCTTGCTGCCAATTCTGTAGCTACATTGCTTAGCTGCACAACTCAACCTACACAGCAGGTTCTTCCAGGTTTCTGGGGAAAGTCAGCAATAAATCAGAAGCAGCACATGGAACAGATGCCATTAACTGCACTACAGCTCTAACAGCTGACTTATGAACAATAAATCACTCTGGAAGATTTTTCTGATGCTTGACACATGGATGTATGTCTGTACAGTGGCCTCTTTATAAGAACGAGGAGAAAAACTTGTATTTTCTTACATCAACACTGCTTCAAACACCTTCCCTTGCTCTTTCTGGAAAAACTCACTTTTTTCTGAGCCAGAGCATCCTCCAGTTGTTGCAGCTCCTCTGTTACTTTCAGCACTTGTTGCTCTGCATCTCCAATTTCACTTCGCAGTTCTTCTAATCTTCTTTGTGCTGCAGACAAAAGAAACCCAACACAAAACCCACAATCCCACAAAATGCATTATAATACTGTGTGTAACACTGATACACAGCAGTGTATGAACACATTAATCAGCACAGCATTACACAGTGATAATCACAGCTAATACATTCTGGTTTCTCAGAAAGTATGTCCAAAGTTTGTTTAACAGTTAAACAGTTAAATTCATGCATCAAATATGAAACATCCCTAGAACTCTGTTTTCAATAACATGTAACGCTCTCATCCTAAGTAATGTTCTCATCCTGAGTTATCTTAAAATAACAGCAGTAAGAAACTGTAGCAGTTTTGACACAAAAAAGCCATCAAGTCCAGTGCTTAACAATCACAGCACTTCCAGCCTTTGACACACTGTTTCTATTCTTATGTCAAGCATGTAACCACTGGACTAAACCACACTGATCTACAAGTTTTTATCTTTATTGGATAAAAAATAAGGTTTTACCTGAATTAATCTTTTCTTCCTTATCATGCAGTATTTTATCTAGACTTTGGAGATGTGATTCCAGCTGGGGTTTCCTACAGGAGTCATCTTCCTCTTGTTGCATTTTCCCAACCTGCAGCTGCTGGGCTTTGTCAGCAATGTATCCTTCCCTTATAAACATATTTCTTTTGTACCTGGCCTTGCCAATGTAGGGACTTTCACCAGGTACATTATCAAGCTCAACCTCCTGAAATGTAAGAAGCAGAGTCTTTATCTCAGAACTATGGCTGCAGTCAACTCCTAACACACATTTAGTTTTCTTATCCAGCATAAAAAGAAAAAACAACTTGAAATGACAAGAATTTTACTTATTATAGAATTAGAATTTTGCTTATTATAAAATTAGATTTTTACAGGTTATACTTAATGATTTTGGCCTTAAACATTGTTATTTTATAATGGAACTAAAACCAAACAAACCCAGCTGGGGTGTGACCAGTTTGTTGCAGATGTCTGGAGGAACTTTTTCTTAGTATACTGAATTTACTTAGATTATATTTAGTCCATTTCATTCTTGCACTTAGGTTTACTCAGACATAACTTAATTATAGTCACTGATTACTGATCTTTACTTTTCTTTTGGATTGCATTCTGGCATCTTCACATTTTTGTTTGCAGGTATGATAGAGGTTGTGCCTTTAATAAAATAGCATCTATTAGATTATAGAAAAACTAATAAGGTTTTTATTTTCCAAGTTGAAAATTCAAGGGAAACAGCAATAAAAAGAGCCATGATTTTAAAATTATTACCTCTGAGGGAAAATAATTTAAGGGCTCAAATTTTGCATCAATCTTGTAAAAGGCCAGCTCCTGCTCCAGCTCATATTGCTTCTGGCAAGCCCGGGTCAGCTCCACTGTCTTCTGCTTCAGCTGAGAAACCACAAAACCCAGTGAGTGTCATTCAGTGGGATTCACTCATCACTGTCACACTCAGTGCAGCTCCACAGACAGCAGAGCACAGCCCTTCATGTGGGAACAAAGCTCACAGCACAGTTTTGGATCAGGAATATCACAAAGGGTAATTTTACAATGGTGACTAAGAGGAGACAAAAGCCCCACAATTAATAGAATACAAATGATCACATGAAAGGCCTTTTAAGTTTACATACATCTAAGTGACAACTTTATTTTTAAACCTAATTTAGGATAAAATAATAATTTGGGTACAATCTTTTAGCAAAATCTAGGCCAAAATAACAAATATATTTACTGCTACTAGTGAGCACGAGGACTATTAATACTTGTGGTCTGTAAAAAACCCAAAATATCTCAACTGTCAAGAGTACAAAGTCTGTGTATTTTATTTTAGCTTAACCATGTGCTAGATTGGTTTTGAGGTTATTTTTAAGTAAAGGTCCATCATGTGATCTCTTTTTAAATCAACTTTTCACACTGAATACCTGAGGGAGAACATGCAGCACAACTCCAATAGAGAGTGGAAAGCAGGACTAATGGAGAAAGAGAAATAGAACAGGAAAGGCTTAAAGAAAGATTTCAAAACCTGATAAATGTCATGCAAAAATTAACTCTGTTTCAGAGAAAAGAGGAAAAAAATACCATGAAAATTGTACTCCAAACCACAGTGAATAAAAAATGTCACTGGGACACTCCATAAAAATGTTGCTACTTCAGGGAACGTGCAAATACACCCTAGAAATTAAACCAACCATGCAACCCAGGGGCACAGTGGGGCTACCTTTAGTGAGGAACAAAGGCTCTGCAGGAAGGGGACTGTGACAAACCCAGACACCAGCTGAAGGGAGACAGAAGTGAGCCAAGTTTGTCATCCAAAGGAGAAGAGTGGGTTCAGGTTGCAAAGTATTTGCTGCTAAATCTCATTATACTGCAAACTCCATTTTAGAAGCAGTCTGCTGGTTAGTGTGTGTGTGTGTTCAGAGAAACAGCTACAGAAGTACCAGGTATGGGAGTCTGAAGGATAAACTTTCAGAGGACAAGACTAAGAGGATAAAATCCAAATATTAAGCTCCCATCAGGTCATTCACAGCCCAGCACTCTCAAGGCAGTAGGACTTTGCTTGAGTTTTATGGCTACCCATGAAAGAGACTCAAACATAAGACTTTAGGATGATGTGAATAAAATACAAGTACAGTGGTGGGCATTACCCAAAATAATAACCAAGGGCTGTTACTGACATGCAGCTTGTGAGCACATCTTGTTTTTGTAAAAGTACCAATTTTCTTCCATCTTGCAGCAGCACTTTAGAGTCTGACCAGTGCAGCATATTCAGAACATCAGCAATTTAGCAGCTTAACCTTTCATCAGTTGACAAAATTTTGAACAGAAATCCATAAATAATTACTAGAAACAAAGAAGTTACTATAAATCACAAGATGATACTGAGTGCTGCTTCCATATACTTACTTTTTTCCACAGAAAGAATACTGAAGGTCAATAATCACTCCCTAAAGAGAGCTGGAAGTCTCTCAGTTTTAAAATTAAATCTTCAGTCATTTGAGCTCTCACATTGACAACTTTGTGTCCAAAGATTTCCTTAGTGCCAGGGATTATCTTACCAGCTCATTTTTGGTGCCCAGATCCCTCTGCAGCTCTTCAAAGCTTTGTCTCTGTTGTACAGCCTTTTCCTTTAGTGACCTGTTGAGCTCATCTTGATGCTGAAGTTGCTCGAGCACTTTGGACTGCTTAAGTTTCACATTCTCCATCTCCTTTTTTGTGTTTTCCAACTCTCTTTCTAATTTTTCTACTTCTTCTGAAAAACAAAATCAGACAAACATTCCAATAGAAAAAAATCTTTTCCTTCTAAACTTAAATTTTGTGTCATTCATTTTAGATTTAACAGATTATTACCCAAATTAAATCTCTCCAGAGCTTCCTGCCTGTCATGGTTTGTCACAGGCTGTCCATCCAAGTTTTCCAGTGCCCTCAGGTGGAATATGGTGTACAAGCAGTAGTGAGGCAGACTTGCAACTGGATTTTCAGCAAGGAACAGAGAGGTCAGATCTTGCAGAGGCTTTAGTTTAGCTATATCATGGAGCTAAATCAAACAGAAACAAAACAATGATTAGACATCCTTCTGAGAAGGTTTAAACCCCAGGAGTGAATTTCTGATTATGTAGAATGTTCTGTGTTAGGTCTGTATCAAAGGATTTATTTTAACCTTTTTGCTAAAGAATAAGCTCTAAAAACCTACCAAAATACACAGTATTAAGCCTAAAGTAGCTTCTTAAAATCAAATTATTTCCTCTATTATAAAATGCCATTGCAAAGAGTGTAAATGCAATCAAGCTTTATCTTGGAAATTTCAAGATACCAAGGCTTGTGGATGTATAACCTCCCAAAAACTTACACTTTCCCAAACCTAATATTTGTTTGCATCTTCAATACCTGCACAGCAGGAGTTTCTCTGATAAATAACTTTATTAGGCTCCCAGCTGCTGCATTTTGCAGCAGACTTTGTGGAAAGACACTCAGCAATTACCCAGAGGAAGTCAATCAGTGTAAATACCCCAGGTCACTTCATGAAAAGGCTGAACAATGCCTGTTTCTAACCACAATCACTTACTGATGACACTTTATTCTGTTTCAAATTCAGGCTTTGAAGGGATCTCAGCTTCTTCCCTACCCACAAAGGAATGTGCTCAATCTCATTCCCTGCCAGGTTCAGCTTCTGTAGGTTCTGCAAATGTTCTATGCCTTCAATTTTGCTGAAAATGAGAAGAAAAATTGAATTTATCATGAACCACAGCAAATTTAACGTGAGGCATTATGGATAAACTACAACAAAATCTGTCACAATTAATTAACCAAGAGATCAGCAAAATCATTATTTACTGCCATGGACAATTCAAGTGAAATTACACTATCTTACTTAAAAGTACTACATTAGGACGAAAAATCACAGCACAATTTTCTGTCATTCTTGAAAACTCATGACTTTTGCATGTCTTCATTTCAACATTAACACTATTTTAATGTGTGGTAACTCCATTTTCATGGGGAAAATTTGCTCCTTCTCTCCCGAGAATGTAATGGGATGAAGATGAATCAAAATAAAGTCATTTTGTGGGGCTTTATCCTCCCATAAAAAAGGAAGGATCAACTGTAAACTGACAGCATGAAGAGCTCCATTTTTAGTGTTTTCATGAAAACTGTTGAGGAAAACATGCTAGTTTGTGGTTTACTTGAGCATTTTTTATAGGTATGTGTGAACATTAAGTAAACCACGAGTATTACGACAAAGTACAGCAGGATGTGCTCCTGTGACTGTGCTATTTTTTTGGTATATATGAGCTGTATGTAACCAAAATGTGAAAACAGAGCAGGAGCTAAAAGCTAATTCATCCTTTTCAATTCCTGTTGAGAGAGGAAGTTGTGTGAACACATTGTGTAGAAACTCTGGGTTTTACTCACTTCCCATTGTAAATGTCTTCACTGAAATGGCAGCTTCTCTGCTGCAAAGGCAGTTTCATAATGGTAAAGATCATAATTCACTGACAGAAAAATTAAAAGCAATTAAGAGTTTTGCTACTGCATGAACCATTACCCTTCAATGCTTTAAACAAGACACCAGACTCTCAAGAGTTCAAAAGCAATTTAGGGAATTTATGGCCTGCCTGATCAAGCCCATTCAGCTTCCTTTCCTAAAAGAAAAGCTTATTATATTACCTGTAAAAACAAACAGTAAAAGTTTAATTAATTTTTAATGCACTTAATTGGGTTATTGCCCACTCTTCATTGTGGTATCTGGAAACTTGCACTTCTGGCTCATTTTCCAAGGAAAACAAATCAAACCACTGCCCTGGTACACTGACAGCACTTCCCAGAACTATTTATACTTCTAATACCTCAGAGCTTGTACTTTCTGAAAAGACCTCAAAGCCTCTTAGTCTTGACAAACAATTGGGAAACTCACCTCAAGTGTTCACTCCTGTGAGAAAACTCACTTAAACAGGAAAGGAAAATCAGTTTTATCAACCCTGAGCTCTCCAAACCCTGTGGTTTATTTGTGGTTTATTCCTCTTACCTGATTCTGTTGCGGGACAAGTTGAGTTCACGCAGCTTCAGCAGTTTATCCAACTTCTCAATCTTCTCTATTTGGTTGTTACTAAGGTTTAGCACCTCCAGTTTAGAGCACTTTTCCAAATTTTCTATGTACTAAAGAACAGAAAATCTCTTAGCATAGGATTTGGGTTTTTTTAAAGAGAAAATCAGCTTTCTATTAATTAAAAATACCAAGTATTCTAACATTTTGTTAATCACAGTTCATTCTGGTATCCTAAAACCCCAGTTTAGGTACAGTCTTCTATAGTGTTGGAAAGCTGGATTTTAAATTTACAGTGGGCCAGTTTTCATCTACATAAAAAGGAACATGTTATTAAAAAAAAAAACAAAAACAAACAAACAAAAAGCCCCAAAAAACCCCAAACCAGCCAAAACCAGCTCAATCCAAAACCTAAAAAAAATTACAGGAACTGATCTGTTTTAAGCATCATTCTAATGAATCAATTATTTTTCTTTTACTCAAGTCTCCACCGAATTTTTTTTTAACAGAAGCTGGTTGCAGAACTGGGCTAAAAGAATTACACTGTAATGTTTTCATCCACTTAAATATAAGCCTGTATTAAACAATTAATTGTAATTATTTTAAACTTCGTTTAATTTCCAGTTATTTCCAATAACTTACCTTAAATTTCTTGTCCCCATCCTTTGGGGAAGAAAGATTCAGTGAGCTTATGCATGCCAGATTTTGCTGTTTTGACAGACCCTTTATAAGGGGTTCAGTTATGTACTTAACCCCCGGGCTAACACCATTTTCAACTGCAATTAAACAGAAAGGATTGATGATTTTTTATATTTGTTGTTTTCTTTACACTTAATAATGGAAAAACATTGAAAATGATCCCCCCAGAAACATTTACAGGAGAAAGTAAAAGTCTCATTATTCTCCCCAGTTTTCATTACTCCCATTTCCACATTTATGTTCAAAAACAAAAAAAAGATTAAAGCAATTTTTTCAGGCTTCTTTCCAACAGATCATACATCTTTAATCACACAATTCACAAAATACTGGCTTTCAAAGCTTGTGGTATGTACTTGAATACCAGTATAATTTACTATACAGTACCTTTCTGAAATTTAAAAGCAGCTCCAACATTTTCTGCTGGAATACCCAGTCGTTGGGACCTCTGCTCCATGCTTTTGGGAGCAGCTGGAGGTGTCTGCTGGCCAAGATGTGGAGATGTGGCACTTGAACTGACAGGTGACATTAGCTGAGCTATGTGGGACGCTGATGCCTGTGGATTTCTACCTGAAGCATTCCTTACAAAGCCTTTCTTCATTGCCAGAAATGCCGAGTATCACATGGCAATACCTGGAAGAACTGAGACAATTATCAGTCTGTGTAAAAAGCAAAATCTTAAAAGGTTTGCATGACAACAAAGGTGCTACAGAAGCTGCCAAAAACCACATCTCCAATGGGTGCTAGCTTCCAGTTTTCCTGGCATTGGGAAGAATTTTACCTTTATACTCCCACCCCTCTACAGCACAGCCCCAGGGACTGACTGAGCAGCTTTGTGCTTGCAGCTCATCTTCCTCCTGTCCTGCAGTCTGTAGTTTACACAAAATTTGCCAGGTCTGGAGATGCTCTCAGCTCAGGCTAATAGAGCTGGCAGGGACACAGAGAGAGGACTGGATCCCAACTGTTCCCAAAGCTTGAAATCAGCCACTTTGCAGTAAGAACAAATGCAAGCAGAAAAAGGTAACTGAGAAAAAAATAAAAATTAATATCAGTCTAGCATTGGCATTCCCAGAGTTTTCCTTTCTGCAAACAAATTATCCTGTGACTGCCTGGGAAATTCCAGAGAATGTTAACAGCAACTTCTCTCAGTGATGGACATATTTCCCCAGGGATAAGTGTAGGAAAAACCATGTATTCCGTATGACAAAGCCCTTGTAGCAGCCATCTCCAAAGGACAGAGATATACTAACACCTCCACCCACTGAACAAGGAGCACATTTCAAAACATTCTTTAAGATAGAAAAGCCGTATCTTGGAGCTTTGTGAGTGATGACGTGCCTTGAGAATATGTTCCTCATTGAGATAGATTTTTTTTTTCCTCCGAAATTGGAAAGGAAATAAGGACAAAGGAAGAGGGGGCAAGAATATACAATCTTGGTATTCAGCTTTGGAAAGGGTTTTCAATATACATCATTATTGTCATCCTGGGCTGGAGGGAGAGAGGAATTTAGAGAAGTGAAGAAAAGAGATAATAAAAGTTTTGAAACGGAAACATGTACAAGGAAATAAATTCAACTCAGATCTTAAAAAATAAGTTTATAATATTTGGATCTATGTAGAAGCTTGAAATTTGTAATCTTTGGACATAATTCTGTTTCCCCAAACCAAAACAATGGGTGTCTTATGACTGTTTAATGATATGCATCATAATTAGCTGACAAGTATTTTCCATTCAAAAAAGCAATTAATCCAAGTTTTCCTTAGCAACTATAATTTAAGACCACTAATGCAATAAACTAATTTTTCCCTGAAGATTCATTGGCTGAATAAAGAGGCAACTGTTCCCAAGAGTGCAGGGGACTGTGCATGGAAAAACCCAATCATACTGAAAGCAAATTTCCCTTTTCCAATGTAACTTGTTTTCAGCAAAGTCTCATACATTCAAGAAATGTATTCATGGGGCTGGCACACAGAAGCAAGTGAAAGCTATGAGATTGCATCTCATTTCCTCTCTTGTGTATGCATTTATGCTGCCTGTGCAGGGTTCAAGGCCTCTGAGTCAGTTGGATCCCAGCCCACCTATGTGCACAGATTTCCTCACAAATGAAGGGCTGTGAAAGTGTCCATGCAGCGAGTCCATGATCCTGCCACAGTAAAAGTCAGAGCACATCCAGCATTCAAGAGAACCCAAGAAGTCAGAGTGGCCCTTGGCTTTAAAAGTACAGGATTAGCTGCAGAGAACTGATGCGGTACAGACATTGTGTAACCCCTTCTGAAACTTCCCTAGAACACGCCAATTATTTGGTCCTGAATTATTCAGTTGTACACAACTATCACTAAATATTTGATATATTCAGCTATCAATGTTGCTCACCAAGCTCTACTCATGTATTATGAATATCATGCAAGAACATGAACAGGTAATAACAGAGTCATTTTGAATAGGCAAGGAACAACAAGTATTGTTTGCCTTAGAGAATGAGTCAGGTACATGTCCCTCACAGGGGTGTTCTGTGAGAAAGTTCAGACATAAAAGAGAAACAAGTTAGGAGTGTTGCTAGAACCAGCTGTGCAAAACAACAAGTTGTACTAATTCCCTTTCTGAGGCACAGTTCTGTCTCAGATTCTTTCAGCATCAAGGGCATGGATTTTCTTCTAGCACCGAGTGATTCTGCTGACACAAGGGTGGTGTGCCTATAAATGAATATCAATTTGCAAAGGTGAAGTTTAGCTTAATTCCTACTTGTCTAGTTACATGTTATCAAGAGTG